GAGAGAGAGAGAATCGCGCGCGCCGCTCTCTCTTGCGAGAGAGAGAGCGCGAGTCGCGCGCAAGAGAGGGAGATAGAGAGAGAGTGCACGGAGAGAGAGAGATAGATAGATAGATATTCTGGGAGGAAATATAAAAAAAAAAATTAATATAGTCAATGAAGAAGGATCTGTAGCGAATCACATCAGAATAATTGAAGCTGAACAATTGCTTCTTTATTCTCAGACCACTTGTTAAATCAGACATATACTCGATTTAAATATCTGAAAAATAAATTCTTAGTAAAACTGGAATCAGAGAGAGTTTTGAAGATACAGAGCACCGAGATACATACCTCACCCATGAGCTCAGCATGCACCTTGGAGATTCCATAGATTGTCCTAGGTCTCTGTACACACAGATCGGGAGTTGGATTTCTGGGAGAAGTTAATCCAAATGCACCAATTGTGCTGGGAACAAACAGGCGAAGATTATGTTCAGCAGCAATATCCAGAATATTATGCAGACCTGTTAATAGATAATTACATATAAAACTTCAAAAACGCATTTGACAGCTTTGTTCTGCAAACAATGTTTAAAATGCACCATGGTGTATTATTTTCCAAGTTAAAATTTCAAACTGAGCTTAATTTCAATGTTTCTAAATATAGAAATATGTTATTTGCAGAAATCTCAATTGTTGTATATTCCTCACCCGTTATGTTGACATTGCGTGCTAGAGCGACATTTGCTTCCCCGACTGCACTCAGCAGAGCACTGTAGTGAATTAGCCATGTGATACGATTGTTGACGACAATTTCACGCAGATTCTTATAATCCAAGATGTCAGAGTATATACATGGCCCTAAATAGACAAGATGTGATTTGTTAAAATAATTTACATGTCTCTTTAAGAAAAAGTGTTTTCTGTTTTTGAAGTCTGAGCACTTACCACTGTGGAACACATGATCTGGGGGTTTCCTGATGTCAGAGAGAATTACATTGTTTTTACCAAAACGTTTTCTGTTGAAATAATCAACATATTTTTGTTAAGATGCTTAACGGAGAGAAACATGACTAATAAAAAAAATCTCTGCAGTTCTCCCAAAATGTTTCTCTTACTCATGTGGTATGCACACGTCAACAAAATATAGAATCTATACAAATTAGCGACAGAAATTACTAAGCATAAAGGTTCCATTTGGACATACACCATAAAAATTAGGCACGCTTTCTTTAAGGTGAAAGCTTTTGACAACTTACAAGACCAACTGGTATGAAGAGACAAAGATTATTCATTATCAGTAGTGGTCTGATTTGGGCCAATTAATCTTAAACACATGTAAAAGAGCATGGAAAAACACCAACACTGCTGGTTTTGGGTCTAGTTCATTTAGTTTAACATTTTCTGATCTTCTGTTAATTTGACAAATTCCAAACATTTAAAGTACAGACTACCCCACATGAGTGGGAAACTTTCATCTGCAGTCTTGTCAAGTATATCAGTTGTTGCACATTCATTTGAACAGTGTGAACTTTCTATATTTCAAACACAATGTTTCACTTACGTACCTTAACAAGTTAGCAAGCCCTACACCAAGCTGTCCCAAGCCACCTGAAATGCGGAACACTTATTAGCACAAAATTTAAGACAGACAATCGGTTTTACTTTAACTAGCAGTCTTGCTTGCTTGGAATAAATCCATACGTAGCTGCCGTGACAAGATCAGTTCATTATTCAGGTAATAATTCCAAAAAACCTAGGTCAGACACAACAATTGTTAAACATAACTGTTTATCTTAATAGAGGAGCAAACTACAAGAATGACCACAAGTACTATTAATATGACATTAGTTGCATAGTGCATAAAACAGAAGTTGATTTGTACAAATAGTACACAAACAAAATAGTACTACATTCAAAATACACAATTCAATTCGCTACATAATGTAACAAACATAGGCATGAGAATAGAAAAGCAGATTTTTTTGATGTGTGAAACTTGTAAACACTGACGTCCAAAGAGCCCTGCACACGGAACACCAACTTAGCACAGAGGTACAGGCAGCAATTAGGAAGACAAGTGTATGTTGACCTTATTACTGCAAGGAGATTGGAATGAGAATATAGAAGACTTTCTACAACTGGGCAAGGCTTCGGTGAGAAACACCAGGAATACTAAATGCAGTTTTGGTTTCTGTATTCAAATTCTAATACCTAAATTCCATATAGTTGCATTGGAGGGTGCAGGACAGACTTGCTCAATTGGTACCTGGAAGGAGACAGTCGTTCCTCACAAGGCTGAGTATACTGGACCCATACTGGAGTTAAGACTGAGGGGTGTTCACATTTAAATATATATCTCTGAAGGAGTTTGTTAGCATGAACACTGAAAAAACATTTCTCTGGCTGGGAAATCTAGAATATGGGCACAATCTCAGGATAGAGAGTATGAGAAGTTTAAGAATTCTTCAAATTCTCTGCTTCAGAGACATCTTAAGCTCCATTGTTTGTTAGTTTTAAAAACAGGATAGGCAGACATGCTTTTCAGCTTGGGGGAAGGGCAATAAAGAGGGTGAAAATCAGTTTTATTGTTTACTCCTGCTCTTAGTTTTGAAATGTCTTCTATGGCTAGAAGTTTATGTAAATAAACAAATATATTCATAATGGAACTGTTCCCAAAAAAATTGCTAGATTTTTGAAAACAATTCACCAATGTAGAAAGGTGTGCACAGCTACAGCCTCAGCATTTTGTTACATCTAACTAGAAAGACAACTGTACAGTAAATCCCATTTCTTTGATCTGGAGTGGGTACAATAACTTATTTATTTGTTTTTTTTTAATTTTTAGTATGCAGTGAGGATCGTTGTTGTACTGAAATACATTTATTAGAATGAGCTTGAATATCTGAGATCTAAAACCTCAAGACTTTCAACACTGGAGACAACAGCAGTTCCTCGGATTAAAAATTGCATCTTGGATATTCAGACCACCCGGTTTTAGTTGTATCCAGCTTTAGCTGTAGTGGGCCTCTTACAACTGTTCTCAAGGTCCTTGAGCTTGGGTAGAGTTAAAAATATTAGCAGGGTTCTGATTTCAAAGTGACTCAAGCATATGTGGTTCTGGCATTTAATATGAGGACATCAGATATGACCATGCCAAATATTGTAATCAAATATACTGTTATTATTCACAGCTGCAACTCATGCTTCAAGAACAAAACTTAAGCATGGTGTTGGAGGATGTCTGATATCTATAAAACCAAATCCAAGATGATAAATAACTTCATGGTGGCAAGACAGGAAGAATGCACAGAAAAATCAAGTAAAATATAAAGCTGGGTTGGAAAACTAGTACCTATTGTGCATATTATGTTTTAACTTTTAATAAGTTAGCAAGATGCATGTTGTTTTCTTTCTCCTCAAAGTCAAAGATTAGAATTTAAAGTTAACCAGAAAAAGTGTCTAATTTTATATAGGCTTCCTTATTCTAAGTATCCAAATTAAAAAAAAACACATACCTGTGATAAGAACACGGGGATGATCCGACTCAGCAAAAGACACAGAGTGAAAACTTGCATCTGCATTTACTTGCCTTGGAGAGCAGCTCATTAGTCTGATTGACACAGCAGGAATCTGGCAACTACAACCATTGCTCAGTAGCACTTGTTTAGCAGTCTTCGCCAAATTCCTAAAAACTGGCATTCTTCACGTCTGAGAATAAAGGATGCAAGTTCAAGTAGGCAGTTAAAGTAATACTCCAAAACATGTTCAGTAATTTTAAATGAATCTTTATTGACGTGACTAAAACACACAGTCTATATAACATAAATAGATCATTCAGCCCAACTAACGCATGCCATTTCACACAAAAGCCTCACTCCATTCCTCTTTTTCTAATTGTCAGCATATCTTTCCAAAAAAAAAAATTACCTTACTCATCTATCTTCCTCTCAAATTCAGGAGTGTATGTATGTTAATAACTATGTTATATTCACATATCCCCCATTCTCAGCACTCATTGGTTAAGAATTTCCCATTGAATATAATATACCTCATGTTTATCATTTCTAAACTTGGACATTAATTTCAAAACAAATTATGCCCTGAGCTTTGCTGTTCGATTCAAGTTTCAAAGCACTTATTTGTTGTTACTGTTCATTGTTCCTTCTCATTTCTTCATGCCTTTGTAAAAACAAAGATCTTAGTTGATGTGTGTCTATAATCCAGCGCCTGACTCAACTACAACACTGACGTCATATTGAAATCTTGATTAGTGGTAAATTCACAGTGAAAAGGAAACATCGTCAGCTGGATTCAGAAAAACCACAATGGGTAAAACATTGGTAGGTTTATGCCCACTGAGGAAAGTTACTCTTTACTGTCCAAAAAAAAAAACCCTTAGGAATATTGGCTGTATGCTACTATATCCAAACAATTAAAAAAGGGTACACACAGATCAATGCCTTTAAAACCATGATGGCAAGTAAAGCATCTTTATCAATTGTTTGACACTGACTGCATCACTGCAAGATGCCCTCCTTTTGTAACATTGTAAATCGTTACCCATCAATGCTTTCAGCAAATGTTCTCCGGTCAAATGTTATTTGCTTATGCATGCTGATGTCCATGAAGAACAAAGTGCTCTGAAACACACACTGTAACCAACATAAGCTGAACAAACAAAGCAAGTTACGTACAAAACCTAATCAAAAGTTCCAATCTCATATATGATGTTAGGTTATAGCTAATTGCACAAAACATTCTGTTGATCCTCCCCAAATTACTTCCAATTTGTTCCAGGTACTTGATCAACAATATACACAAAACAAATCCAACTGGATGCTAGTCAACACTTTTGCTGACATCAGGTATTGATCTGGTTCACAAATCAGAATTCAAGCAAATAATCTTAGCAAATAATGCACATAGACATATCCTGGCAATCACAAATCAGCTTCAACAAGATAGCTGTTTGGCTTTCCCCAAATATGACCAAACCACAAAAATAAAATCATTAACACCTAGAAGACATTTTGTTCAAGACTAGCGATTCACTACAAATTCAATGCTCACGTGTTCCCCACTACCCATTATACAACATCGGGACCAATCGCTATCATTGTAGAATAGATTTGGTGACTAAAGGATTGGCATGCCAAAAGGCACTATTAGAAAGCAAGGGTTTGTGAATTTTTAATTTCACCATGCTAATTGCTGTACAAAATATTGCCTTAATAGTGGTCTGAAACAGTGGCAGAAACAGAAGGTCTATCAGCTGCCAAAAACAGAAATTCAGCTGGATAAATATAGTACAGGAACCACAGATAGGCTAAAAGATTTCTTTCGTTATGTAGCTGGAACTCAACAATGTGGACCAAGTTTACTTCTGAGGAACCAACTCATCCATGCCGACCAGATATTCTATATAAATCTAGTCCCACTTGCCAGCATTTGGCCTATATCCCTCTAAACCCTTCCTATTCATATATCCATCCAGATGTCTTTTAAATGTTGCAGTCATACCAGCCTCCACCCCTTCCTCTAGCAACTAATGCCATACATGCACCACCCTCTGCATGAAAAAGTTGCTCCTTAGGTCCCTTTTAAATCTTTCCCGTCTCACCTTAAACATATGCCTTCTCGTTTTGGACTCCCCTACCCCAGGGAAAGACCTTGCCTTTTACCCTATCCTTGCTCCTCACGATTTTATAAGCCTTTATAAAAAGTCACCCCTCAACCTCCATGCTCCAGAATTTGAGTTGGAAGTTACTCGTGCATACCCACTGACAGTGTTGTGAGCAGTGCCATTGGGAGCACATTAAGAAATAAAATAAAATGAAAGAAATGGGCAAATCCATGCTATGGATTTCAATGTAAGGAAATGGGAGGTCATCTGGTCTGGACTAAAATAGAGAACAGAAGGGTACTTGCAAAATAGTTTAAATTTAGAAACAGTGGAGGTTCAAAAGAAAACTTGGAAATTCACATACACAAGTCAAATAGGTCAGATGACCAAAAGCTTGGTTAAATACATAGCATTTTAAAGGAGTTTCTTAAGGAGGAAACCAGGTAAAGAGATGATTAGGGAGGGGAATTCCAGAACCCAGAAAACAGACACCATAAATTCTGGTGATTAAGCAATTAAAGTTAGGAATATTCAAATGACCAGGATTAGAGAAGGACAGAGATCAGAGATCAGAAAACTGTACAAATGGAGAGGCTATAAGAGAAATAGTATGGGGAGTCAGATCAGGGGAATTTGAAAATGAGAATGCAAATTTAGGAGAGGAAAAGAAATATACAACTTTTGCTAAAAAAGAGCTAGTCTACGTCAGTGATCACAAAGGGGAAGGGTGAATGGGACTCAAAAACAGTTAGGAGATAAGCTGCAGTTTTTAATGACCTCAAGTTCACAGATATTAGAGTGTGGATGGCCAGCAAACAGTATATTAGAACAGTCATGTCTAGCCAGAGGTAACAAAGGCACAGATGAGGGTTTTAATGGCAGAAGGACTGAGTTGGGACTGAGTCAGGTAATATTGCACAAATGGAAATAGATTAGTTTGGTTATAAAGTGGATGTTTGGCTGATAACTCAGAGTCAAACAGAAGAAGAACAATATTGCAAACAGTTTGGTTTAGCATCAGACAGTTGGAAGTTAGTGCAATGATATCTGAACTCCAATGTTTAAATTGCAAACACAAATTACACAAACTAAGTGTTCTTCCCTCGAATTTAGGAAAGTGATTTAACCAAAATTAAAAGCTATTAAAAAGTTATCTACCCTATTTCTGTTGGTGAGGGAACTTAAGGATAGGGGTTAGAATTTAAAAATTTGACACAACCCTGTCAAGAAGAAGCCATTCCTACATTTGAAGGGTAGAACATTCTTCCACAATTGGAAATGGTTGGGTCAATTGTTAATTTTAAATCTACGTGATCGATTTTTCTTAGCCAAAATATTTAAGGGATATAGAGCTAAAACAAATATATAGATAATAACTTAAAGAATTGCGTTCATGCGAAATCTAAAACAAAAATGCAAGTTGTTGGAGAAACTCAGCAGCTCCGACAGCATCTATGAAGACAAAGCAGAGTTACAGCAGAGCAAATACACAGCTAGGTCACAGATTAGCCTTCCAGTCAAATGGTTAAAAAACGGTTTTGAGGGATGAAGAGCTCCTAAAAACAAAGGAAGGTTCAGTACACGAATGTAAACTGAACATTTCTATTACCTCTCTACTGGGTATTTATTACTTAACTTGAAGATCTTCCTCAAATGCAACAACTACTTGAGGACCTGAGTTGAGCACCCAAAATATTAATGCAAACCAGAATCTAAGGCTGCAAAGGAAAATAAAGATATTTAAGTTTTAGAACACCAAATTGGGTGACTTGGTTCTGAAATAATCTGCAAGCATTCATATAATTAACACTACAGATACCATCAACACCGACAAAGCTAATTGGGGTGAATGTTCCTTCCACACCTTACCCTATTTAACTATCACTGGAACCCAAAACATTAACTCTGAACTCTCTTCACAGATGTTGCCAGACCCACTGAGCTTTTCCAAGAATTTCTAATTTTGTTTCTGATTTACAGCATCCGCAGTTCTTTCAGTTTCTATTTAACTATCCTCTCTGCACAACCCTTCTTTCTCATCTATTCAATTGGTTTGACCTTAAAAGACATCCTCATCTAGTCATGTATGTTAGCATGTCAAGTTCTAATAACTTTCTGAGCAAAAATATAATTTCTTTATTGGATTGGTAGCAGTTATCATACGTTTATGACTCCCAGTCTTGGACTTAATATAATGGGAAACACCTTAATGGCTACCCAATCGAACTAGCATTTGTAAAACCAGAATAACCCTTTATATTAAATGGGAAACCAATTCAATGGAATTAAAATAATGTCTATAAACTGCTGTAAGTTAATTTTAATTTTACAAACTTCTTTAAAAAAAAAGTTCAATATCAGATTGTAAAATTCATGGTGACTGGGAAATAGTTTGGAAATTGCCTTTTAGACATTTACAGAATAAGTGAAATTGTTTGCTAGCACACATTTATTGCTATAAACAGATTTGATCTTCTTTCGTTATTTTAATGTCACTTTAGATAATCTTCATTGTTCTTAATTCTCTGAATCATATTTATATTAACAATGACTGCAGCCACTTAGACTCAACTTATTCCTTTCCTCGGCCACCACAATTACTTCCTCTTAAAATTTTAGGTTTTTAAAAGCCCATATCAAACGCCATTTCATTATTACTTCCTTGTTTTATTTCGATCATTGGAACAGATGTGCTCTTCTACCCTGGTCCCTCTCTTTTTGATTAGAAAGAAGAGATTGACGGGCAAACACACACTGTAATAGAAACATCCTCAATGACAAAGAGAGCAGCATTATCCTATCTCTTCTCGCTGATGCTGTCTAACTAACGAAAGGGCAGAATCACACAGATCAGGAGTTTCCGCTTTTAAACAAACCGAACAGCGATTACGTGATAAAATTAATTGGAAAGGGTTCTTGAAATTACAGTACCCTTTCACCTCCGAAATACAGTTAGGTTCTCAACCAGCTATTGAGAAACAGATTCTGAAGACGGTCCTTGAATTAAAGAACACACTGGGGGGGGGGGGGGGGGAAAAAACCTGAATGTACACTATGTTCAAGTTCGTAAGATCTGTAAATTGGTGCCAGAGAATATTACCACAGGGAGGCAGACACCCGCGGATAGCGACATAGAATTTCCGCAACCACACGCCGTCCCCGCCGCTAACGTGGGTGATTGGTATTACCTCCCGCTGAGCATTAACGGCCCCGGCAGGGAAAGAGGAAGCCAAAGTGGCACTGCTCCGCTCCGCCCCGCCCAGCCCAGCCTAGCCTAGCCTCGCTTAGTTTAGTTTAGTTTAACTAAACCCGAGCCTGGAGCGGTTGAGGGCAGGGCGGCCTACAGCCCTTACCCGGAGCCGGCAGCCCAGCTCGACCTAATCGGACCTACCGTCTTCACGAACTTTCTGGCGCCGGTACGATTGCATCAGCCGTTCCGTGCTAGCCTTTTATACAGCAAGCCGGGGTGGATTGGGGGCGGGGTCTGCGGAAGGGGCGGGGTCAACACTTGCCCGTCGATTGGATGGCGGTGCCCTACCTCCAGACCCATTGGTCCACCGGGACGATATCTTCTGTTAATCTCCCGCATCCACCAATCAGCTTCCACAATCCGCGGTCCGGCTGCCGGTACCCACGTGGCGCCAGCTGACCCGGAGAGGGAGCCAAAAAAAAATTGGCAGCTAGGAGACAACTGCGACTGTTCCAGCTCCAACACGTACCCACTTCTAGGGTAAACAGCAGCATATCGTAGCTGCTATCAGCCTCACTCATGCAAGCAGGTGACGATTTAAAACAACATCTTTATGTATGACTTATCGCCTCTGAGCGACACAACTTGTCCCAATCTAACACCAGAGAAATGCCCTCACCGACACGCAACTTATAATTTTATTTACTAAGAGCTTTTTTGAAAATAATTATAAAGTGGGTCACAAAAGTTAAAAGAGATAGTAGGAACTGCAGATACTGGAGAATCTGAGATAACAAGGTGTAGAGCTGGATGAACACAGCAGGCCAAGCAGCATCAGAGGAGCAGGA